TAAAATTTGGAGATATTATTTCTGTGAGAGAAAAAGAGAATACAGATACTAGGGGACAACTAGTGGCTACTGTCATATCACGTCATGTCTTTCAAATCTTTGATGCTGACGGATCTCTGCAATTGCCCCAGTGTGCAGTTGTACTTTTGGTAAGAAGAGGAAGCTCAAGATTTGACTCTTTCTCCCATAATGACCCTATTTTGGGGGTCAGAAAGGAAGCATGGACATTCACTCATCTCTATATGAAGGAAATGTGGAAACAATCACAGGATGCTTTTACAGACCTGTAAGTGCCATTGTGACAGAATTAGGCCCGCAAATCCAATTGTCACCTAAACTGCATGTGTCCCAGATTCTGCCAGATACATCACAGTGACATTCTGCATTGTGTTCATTTATGTTCAGGAGCCAATACTCCCTGAAAGATCTGGCTATTTCCCATCTCCCACTACAGTTACCATGGTAAATGACCAAAGACACTTCCAGAGAAGGCTGGGAGAAAGATTTACAGGAAGTACTTGTGATGATATCACAAGGTCCTTCTTCAGGTTACCTGGCTTCCTCTATATTCAATGTTTGGAAATAAACTGAAGTTTCAGAATTGAGTGAGCAGCTATCATGACATCATGGTAATTCACGACAGGCCTTGATCAGGTTTTATCATCCCACATATTATTGTTGTTATGATTCAGACTTCATACAATTATATGAATCCCATGAAAGGTTAAGACACTGCCATAGGTTTTCCTGTGTTAGATCATCTCAATCACTGTGGGTTATAGTAAAAATCCCACTTTGTCTCTAACTCTTATGTGTGCCCCCTGGACCATCATCCCAGAAACCAATTATTCCAATTTCTATCAGGGGTCCCATTCAACAGTAACATTGTCCACCTTCCTTCCCGGCCTGAAGGGGATTTTTCAAAGATACTGTCCCTCCCAAGTAAATGCACATGTGTTGGGGATAGTTAGGAGGTAAGTGAGAAGTTTGCCCATAATGAATTCACTCTAACCTTTTCTGTCTAAAACTTTGGGTTGCTTTTTCTACATCATATTGAGAAATTTTGGGTATTTAAGCTTCATGCAATGTAAGTCAGCTTCGAATGTATATTTTATTCAACCTTCTGAGCAGACAATGAAAATTATACCGAGAGGTTTCAGCAGCACCTGGAATCCAGAATTAACAACAATTACAACAGTATTCAGAAATTCAGCCTGATCTAAAGTAATATTCTATCCCCCCTAGGCTGGCATCTGCAAAATCTATACTCACACATTTGCCCCCACATTTAGCACAATAAAAATGAACAAAACCTTGCAATTACTTATTAGCCTTCTTCTAGGTACAAAATTGTTCTTGTCCTACCTGAGCCCTATTAGTCATAGGTTGGAAGCAATGGCAAGGGGAAGTAATGGGGTATAAAGAGGGTTTATATCCTCTTGCTACTTGAGTACGCCAGAGGAACCTTCAAGCAAACCAAGATCAGCCTCATTTGATATGGCAGGAGGGAGTGCTTACGTTGTAAAAGAAGGCTTTCAGTAGAACTTGAGTATTCAGAGTAGCTGGAGCTATTTAAATCTTCCCAAATGTTGTCATTATAATTCTCAGTTTTTGCTCCTTGATATAAGAGATCAGAAGGTAGGTGTGGTGTGTTATTGAGAACCATTAGGAGTTTTCAAACTTTAGTGTGCCTCATCACCTGGAGAGCTTTACAAGAAATGTGTTAGGAGGCTTGAAGAAACAGACTCTAGCCTGAGATTCCAGGAATAGTATCAAAAACCATACCACAAAACTAGGCTAAGAAAGCGTCTACCTTTGCTTGAGTCCTGATCAGAAAGCTGTCACCACACTTGCTGGCTTTAATACCTTGCACTAGAATTTGTGTTAGACAAATAAATCTTCTGTCTCCTGGCTCTCTCAGGTAACTGGTTCTGAATAAAAGTCTAATGCATCCAATTAGCAGAATGTATACCACAACTAGGACACATACGAAACTTTTAATTAATTTATTTGTTTTAATTTGCCAGACTGTTTACTCTAAAAAGGCATGCGAGAAGGGAGTGAGATTGGGTATTGAGTACTCCTGCACTGTTTGAAGTCGGGTAGGTACATACTTACTTGTGAGTAAACCTTGTTAAAGTCCATCTCTCCCACTAGAAAGAAAGCATCAAGAAAGCTGAATCTAATGTCTATTTACTCCCGTGCCCCAGCACCTAGCAGCACAATGCCTGGTACGTAATGGCACTCAATATAGATGTGCCAATATGCTTATTGTCCAATGAATAAGCAGTTTCTTAAAGGAGGGGAAGGAAGAGACAAGCTCTCTGAAGAAAACCTGAAGCAGTTTTATAGCCTTTGCTTGTGCTCAGCCCTGGTGCTCTCCATAGTGTCTACCACTCTAGCCTTGTGGATGAATATAAAAATTTAGGACTGTTATTTTTGTTTTGTTTTTTGTCTGTTTGTTTTTCGTGAGAGACTATTAATCTAGTCTATGTGATTCCAGAAGAAGCAGGATCCAGGGTAAATTCAAAGGAGAAAGAGTATATTTGACTTAGCTGCGTTAATTTTTATGTTCTTTCCTGACTTTGGGGTTAACTTCTTTAAAAAACTGCCAGGCTGGGCGCAGTGGCTCATGCCTGTAATCCCAGCACTTTGGGAGGCTGAGGTGGGTGGATCACCCAAAGTCAGGAGTTTGAGACCAGCCTGACTAACATGGAGAAACCCCGTCTCTATTAAAAATACAAAAATTAGCCAGGTGTGGTGGCGCATGCTTGTAATCCCAGCTACTCGGGAGGCTGAGGCAGGAGAATCGCTTGAACCCAGGAGGCAGAGATTGTGGTGAGCCGAGATCGTGCCATTGCACTCCAGCCTGGGCAACAAGAGTGAGACTCCTTCTCAAAAAAAAAAAAAAAATTAAAAATTAAATAAATAATTGCCCACATCAAAGACAAATAAATGAAAACATCACAAATTAATGACCTCTTCCTTTCACCACCTAAGTTTGAAAGGGTTAGTAAATGATGTCTAGAGAGAGAGAGAGCCTCCCTAGAGGCTGCACAATCCCCAGCTGTCAGATACCCACCTGCCTCAGGACAAGTCATGAAGGAAGATGGAGGCTGCCACCTGTGTAGCACAAACTGAACAGAACGTCATGCCCCAGCCTCCATCAGAAATATACCTCTCTCAGCATTTATTAATCTCTGAATGTCAATATTAAGTGTTTAATTTTTTTTTCTTTGTACCATGTGATTCTGCAACCTCTCCAGGTATACAGGTGTCAGATTCAGCATCATTCTCAACCTCTTAAGATGCAAAAATTCCCAGGTTCCTTGCGACAAGCAGCAGGTATAGATTGGCAGGTAACAGAAAGAACATAAAGGTGCTGAGAGCACCTGAGGGGTCTCGGAAATGAGTCACTAGTGATTAGAAAACAAGGGCATGTAAAGGGTTAAGAGAGCACAGAAAACACCTGGGCTTAATTCATTATCTTGGCAAGATTGGTTGTAATCTGCTTTATCAAATTAAATACTTTTCGAGAGGAAGAAGTTGTGTAAAAGTTTGTGTAGTGAACAATGGGAAAGGAAGAATTTGCCTCACATCACTCAACTGTGGGTGTCTGGCCTCACAGCTTCTCATCGGATGCTAGGATGGCTGGGGTGCCCAATTCCCTCTGGGAGGGATCTTAACATTCATATTCCTCTCCTTGATGCTTTTGTGGCTCTTTTCCTTCCAGAACTAGCTTGCCTGCCTGGGGAGTGGGTAAAGTCAATGAGTGTGAGTTATGTGAGAGTCTCAAAATATCAGACCATCTCACAAATGAGCAAAGATGTTACAGGAGGAAAATAGGCTGAGGTATTTATTGATAACTTGGGAAGTAGTTTTTAAACATCTAGTCCCATTACAAGTAAATTATCTGTTATTACATCATTGTCTGCAAAATGTGTCTAAAGCTTAGGCACATTTGTGTCACATATGCATGTATGTGTTTAACTATGTGTTTATTATTAGGCCTAACCTCATAATCAAATTGTTCTGTTGGAGCCCCTAAAGTGGCTTATCACTGAGTGAAAGTAATTTCCCATGGCAGGTGCTCCCAGCAGGTGGCTGCTCACAGTACCTGCATCCGAAAGGTAGATTTAGTCAGAGATTTTATTTTAATAAGAAACCCGTATTGCAGCCGAGCCACCACTGGGTGATGTGCCAAAATTCATGTCTGCAGCATGATTTATTATGTGAAAATACCACAGAACTAATCAGTGGAGTTACTAATTAATACAAATCTGCATTTTTTGCATAAGCAATTAGTGCAAGGAGAGAGCAGTGAAAGAGGAAGTTTGACTCCTTTAATCTCAGTGCCTACTCAAGCGGAAAGACCCACCAAGGCCAAACTCCGAGATCTACGTTTGGAATTTTCCCCCTTTGATTAGTTAAAGACATAAAAGGTCAAATTATCAATATTTAATTTGAGAGAAATGCATTTGTTATAAAGGAAAAAAAATTTATTTAAAGAAGGTGAGACTCCAGGAATGAATTCTTTAATCAAAAATGATTATATTTCTCATTACGGTGAAGTGTGAATAATACTTGATGAGGATTTTGTTTACTACTAATAATGATGTTTTGAAAATTATATCAATAAGTGTGTGTGGTGGGGAGGGGGATATGGTATATATTTCTCAGATGTTCAAATTGCCAAAGGAGCTTTCTCTTCTCAGTTATGTCTTTGCTAGATGTTTCCAGTATATGTTGGATAAGTTATGAGTACTCAATATGTAATATTTTAGATCTGGCATGATTTAGCTAATTGTGTGGCTCACTGAATCTGAGTGAATAATACCATTTGACTTCTGTTGGCTTGTTTTTTCATTAATTTATCAGAGATTGTTTACAGTATGAAATAACTGAAGTGTTGATAAAGTGATGGTGAAAAAGATTTTAGATTTTCAATAAAATTTATACTCCATAAAACACAAGCAAAATCAAAAACATTTTGAGAGATATTTTATTATTTCTGTGGAGAGTAAACAAGAAATTCATTTTGGTTTTGAAGCTGTGTGGCAAATAAGTACAAATATTTGAATAATGACTATCTTTTTGAAAGCTATTCAATTTATGATTTCTGTCTTTGTTTCAGACTAGCCAGCTCAAATTATAGTTTAAGCTCTTTCCTTACCCCTAAATCTGGCTATCTAGTTTTCCAGGAAACTTACTGTGAATATTTGGCTAATTAGATGCAGACTTACAGGACTCTTTAAAAAGCTCAGTCATGGTGCCCAGTGTTTTTTGTTTGTTTTTGTTTTTGTTTTTGAAACAAAGCAAACAGGGAAGAGCGGAAAGGAGGAAGGGAAAGAAAGGAGGAAGAAGGGGAGGGAGGAAAGGAGGGAAAGGAGGGGGAAGGGGACGGAGGAAAGGAAGGGAGGAAAGGAGGAAGGGTCGGAGGAAAGGAGGAAGGAAGGGAGGAAGAGAGAGATTTTGCTGAATCTGGTAGGCCGAAGGTCAGGGCCTTTGGAGTGGGAATTGTCCACGGTGCTGATAGGTTGCGGAAGTCGTTCCTTCTACAAGTCGCCTGGGGCCCTAAACCTGGTTTGCCCGCGTTCCTCCCGTGCCTTTAGGAACTTGTACGGGTCTCCTCTCCCAACCCACTGCAGCAGCCATTGTTATTGGGACGCTCCGGCGCCGTCGGTGTGTCTCGGCTCTCCACTCCCGAAGTTACACACAGCTACCGAGGATTTTTGTTTGCTTGCTTCTTTCTATTAAGGCAAAGGTTGGCAAATAGCGTGTGCTTGTCAGTTCCCTGGCCCTGCGATCCCCTTTGGACAGCAAGCTGTTCTTCGATCCCCGGGAAACAGGTGTGCGCCCTCTGCTCATGCTCCTCTCCCGAGAGCAGGTGCGACCGTGGACATACACTCACGGACACTCGCACACCCATCCACTTATGCCCACACTCACATACACATTCACATTCATTGACACACACCTGCACACACTCATATGTTCACATACACACTAACAATCATTTATATGCACACACGATTTGCACACACATTCACATAATCTTGCACACACACCGATTCACACACGTATATTCAAGTGGAATCACACACTTTTGCACACACAGGGCATCGGACGCACGAGGCCTTCAGCAATTGTGCCCGTGACCCACGCCTGCCAAGATGTTCCTACTGAGTTGATTTTACGTTGTTGGTTCTGCGTGTTAGATGGTTTCAGGAAAGCCTCTCGATCCTGACAGGGAATCAGAGACAAGTCCTCCCAAGGTCTGTGGGAGCCGAGAAAGAAGCCACCAAGGCCCCGTCGGGACCGGGAGGGCATAAATAATAAATAAAAAGGCCCAGGCAGGCCGAGCTGGGGAAGCCCGGCACTAAATCACTCCCCAAATCACAGTCGCGTCGTGCTCCATCCAATAGCTCTAAGCAATTTGTGGGGTTGGGGGTTGAAATCAATTTTTTCCGTTCTCGCAGGTGCAATATGAATCAATTATCTTAATTAAGATTATGCCGCAAGCCCTGGAGATTTGGGGAGGATGGGTTTTGCGCTCCGGGCGACGGCGAGGCATTTTAATAGCGTCTCTCGTTGCTCTTGACTCTCCCGGGTCGCCTGCCTGTCGAGCCTGGGCAGCTCCAGCCTCAGGCCAGGACCTGGGAGCCCAACTGCCTCCCCCGGGGCGCAGGCGCCGCGTCGGCGGTCTGTTCAGAACCCGCATCAACCCCCCTCCATCCCCCCGAAGCTCTCAAGAGCCTCCAAGCTACCCGGCCTATGTAGGACCTGCAGCTCTCAGTCCTCCGTTCCTGCGGCCCCTGCGCCCCACGGTCTCGCGGGCCCCTCGGCCACCTGGCCCCCTCACCCCTCTCTCCCGCCCCTGGAACGCGCCCAGGCCCCGACATCCCCCTCCTAGTTAGGGCGGGAAGAGGACGCGGGAACCTCTCGAGGTCGGCCGGGCTGCCCTGGCCACACTTGATCCTTTCATTGAACGCAAACCTCCCTTTGCAAGAGCTAGCATCTGTTTCCCTGAGAAACAGGTCACCGCCAGGGACGCCGGCCCGGCCCCTGCTCTTTATCTTGGCCCTGTGAATGCTTCGCCCCCCACCTCCCGCCCCCCGCTTTCGCCTCCAGCCACAGGCTTCCCACCCCCTACGTCCGGGCCACACGCCTCCATCCCTTCCCCACCCCCATCCCTCCACACCCCTCCCCCTTCCCCTCCGCCCGGCCCACTCCCCTCTCCCCACCCCCGGCCACGCGCCTCCTCCCGCCCCCCTTCCCGCAGGCGCTCCGGCTGCCGCTGTAACGGCCGGGACGCCCGGCCCTCGCCGCGCGCTCAGAGCGGGGACCCGGGAGGCGGCAGATTTGGGGCATTGCTCGAGGGCAGTGAGTCATGAAAGCGGCTTTTGTTGTCCGCGCGTGCGGTTCGCGTGCCGCTGGGTAGCCTGCAGCGCCCAGTAGGGACGGGAGCTGGGGAAGTACGGCTAACTGGCAGCGAGGGGAGAGAGAAAAAACTTAGGGAATCAGGAGGGGGAAAAGTGTGCAACCGTCCAAACAAGTCCAAAGAGAAGAAAATAAGGAGGCGGGGCGGGGCAGCGGAGACGGTCCTCAGCACTAAGCCCCGCCGCGCCTTCAGCTCTGTCCTCTCCCGGCGTCCGGCTGACTCTTCTCTCGCCCCAATTTCTCGAGCCTTCAACCCCAAACAAAACGCACCTCAATCCAGGCCGTGGTCCGGGCTCCTCGCTTTAGGGTCTTACTACCCTGCATCTCCCGGGAGCCTCGCGGGCACTGGCTGAGAGTCGCGATGCCGGCGCTCTGGGTCGAAATTATCCGCGCGGAGGAGGGTCACATCGGAGCCCTGCAGGTTGGAAAGCCCAGTGACAGCCACCGTGAGACCCAACCTCAGCCCGGTCTCTGAAACATCTTGGAGTGGCCTTTCCTTTGTAAAAATCCCCAGTCCTGAGCGAACAACGCGCAGTGGGATTAGAAATGAATTTATCAAGGGGAGAGGAGGAAACAGACTAGTAATTCCCGCACTTTAAGCATTTGAGTCTACTTCTGGCAAAATACTCGGGCGTCCCTCTTGCCCAAGAACATCTGACTCCACCATAATTCTCCTGTATTGCACAGGATGTCGCGAACTGGAGAAGTTTCTGCTTTCTGGGGGTGAGGACAAGAATTTAGCAGAGGGACCACTAGGCTACCACTGACCTCGAGGTTAGATGGAGTCCTTTCTCCTACTCCATCCCCAGATCTCCTCCGGAGCTCCCCAAAGTTGGAAAAATGAGAGCCTAGGCACGAGTTCCATATGCCTGCAGCACGGTGTGCTGCCAGTCGGGGCAGCTGCCGGGCGAGGGGCAGCACTTAACCTGGCCCTGCCGCAAATGTCCTCAGACCTCAGGCTGTGTACTACCTTCTAAGGGCTAGTACTCTGACGCCCTCGAGTTTTAGCCCAACACTGAAGATACATAGAGTACAGGGGTAAATCCTAGGACCAGGCCCCTGGATGACTTATTTTATCCTCCCCTATGTGCTTTGTCAGCCGAGTGAATGTAGAAAAGCAAGCAAAACTCCGGAACCCCACAACGATTCACACCACGCTTCGGTGGCACAACTCCTTTCTTCCCCTTTTAGATTTGTACTGTGCAGGGAAGGCTGCACCTGCCACCTTCAGACACCGGCGATCTGGCTAGGACCCTCTTCCTCTATCCCCACTCTCTCCTCCTGTCCCCACCCTCTTCCAGATGCACCCCAGTCCAGCCGCTCAATCCTGACACTGTTTGCAAACTCGAGGGATATTTAGTGTAATTGCCTTTAAATAAGCAATTCACGTAAGAGGTATTTATTGCAGAGGGCTTCAGGTCTGGGAGGGGGTTAGGAGTTAGTTAATGAAGGATTAGGGGCAAAGCTGGGAAAGAACGAGTAGATAGGCCAGTTTCTTTCTTTTTTAAAAAATCTATTCTGGAAAACGCTTATTCGAAAAGAGTAAAGAATTGCTATTTAGGCAACAGTGTGGCTCCTTCGGAACTGATCGGGAATTTCTGTGGTCTTTGCTTGACCTACAAGGTGGGAGTTTCAAATCAGAGGCTTTGAAGTCTGGAGGAGTTCGCAGCCATTAATCCTTCCCGGGGTTGTGCTAAAGGCATTTCTAGAAAGAAATCAATCGGAAAGACCCGTTCAACACAGGCCCATTGCATCTTCTCTTTGAAAAGGCTTGTCTGAATCAAGTATCTTATACAGACCCGAGATTGAGGGGAGCAAGAGCGCAGGTCCGGCTGTGGCGAGGTGTCCACCACCGTACTCATGGTCAATGCCTGGACTAGAGAGCCGAGGCCATGCAGGGCGGGCTGGCCAGGTAACTGGAAGCGTCCCTGGACTGGCTGAGAGGAGGTGCCTTTTGCAGCAACCCAGTGGCCATGGCTAAAAGGCAGAATCCAACCGTCAAAGAAGCCCCCAGCTCCCACATAAGAAAGCGCAAAGGCCAATGGAGCCAAGGCCTCCTCGAGAGAACTAGCTCGCTTTGAGGACAAGATCCTGGGGATGGAGGTAGGGACTGACGTAGTGAGAGGGTCTGGAGGGACAGTGGTAGCTGAGAGTCAGGACACGAAGGATTGAACGTATGGTAGGGATAGAATGGCAAGTACAAATTTTCTGTACTTAAGGAACTGGGAGAGGACGATCCGGTTAGAGAGGATGGGGAACTAATCTCAACGCTGCGTTTACAGAAGAAGCCGCTTTTATATGGCGTATATGTTTGCTTAGAGGGGCCGAAGGAGATTAGGAGAAGCCATCCGTTGGCGCCAATGATCAAAGCGTCTGCCAAGGAGAAGAAGCCAAGGGATGGGCCTTTCAGACAGGGCAGGGAGTCATGCTGCTCTGGATGCCAGTGCCAGGACAAGAAATCGAAAGGAGCGAGGACTCTTTACTGCGTGCCTCAGTCTCCCCCTTCTGCCTCTTTCACCTCTGCCCTACTTCCGGCGTGAAAGCAGGCCACTCTCTCTGATGTAGACCAACTCAACATTAGCTTTTCCCTTCCTTCCCTCAAATCCCCTCCCCCCTCTATCCCCTGTCCCTTCTGCCGCCTGAAAGGGTTAATCTCTCCTGCGGGTAAAAACAGGTCCGCGGAGTCTCTAACTGGCGACAGATGGGCCACTTTCTTCTGGCCACAAAGGGGCCGGAATGGAGCGCTCCGCGGCATACAAATGGGCAGGTCACGTGGTTCCAGGCTCTTGGCTGGACCGGGAAGACCATATGGCGCATGCCGGGGAGGAAGGAGAAGGGGCGGGAGTAGGGGTGGAGGGTGAGGGGAGCGGTTGTCAGAGGAGGGCGGGAGACAAGCAAGGCGTGGGGAGAAGTGGGGAGGAGGGGAGAACCGGGAGCGCACAGCCTGGACGCGTGCGCAGGCGGCAGGCGCAGAGACCTGCTAGCTCCTCAGCTAGCAGCCCCGCCCGCGCTTAGCATCACTAACTGGGCTATATAACCTGAGCGCCCGCGCGGCCAGGACACGAGGAATTCGCCCACGCAGGAGGCACGGCGTCCGGAGGCCCCAGGGTTATGAGACTTTCACTGCTCAGGACCTACTAACAACAAAGGTAATTACAATTCTTTCATTTTTTTGCCCTAGAATAGAAGCAATAACTGAAGACTGATGCACCTACATATTCTGTATGTGTGCGTTTGCGAGCGTGTGTATGTGTGTTGAGACCAGCATCCCTCTCCATAATTGCCCATAAGTACTCACACATAATGAGTCGTGTCACTCAAGTACCCCCTGCAGGCTTTCTAATTTAAATTTTAAGAATTTGGGTTTCTTTTGTGGATAGCATAGGAGCTTGGATTTTTTAAAAGAATACACAGTAATTATGATTATCTGCTAGTGCTGATTTTAAAGTCCCAAAAGCAATAATGACTTCATTTTCTCACTTCTTACAATAAGAAAAAAAAAGCTGTGTTATCAATATATATTTTGTGTGCATGTATTTTACGCATATTAGGAGTGTCAAGCTGTGTTTTCAGTGAATGAAAGCGACATGGATACCTTGAGTATTCACACCATGGAAAATAAATCAGGTTCAGAGATAGTTTAGTTGAGAGGGGGGAAAGTGAAGAAAGGGAGAGGGACTCACTCCTGCTACCTGTTACCGCTCCAGAGGCGGCCAAGTCCCCAGCAGCCACTACTGGAGCCAGAAATGCAGTTGTTTTACTAACGGCTTTTTATTTTCCTTATTAGAAGCAGCAACTTCGCGGTTGCCAATCGCTGACCATTATAATTACTCAATTTTTTAAAGGGAGGTTTGAGGCGAACTTTGAAAAGCCTCAATAAAGAGCGGGCGGCCCTTTCAATGGGCTGTTTATTAGAGAGGAGCCTTCCGCACCTGATCCCCGGCGCGTGGGAGAGCGCTCTGCGCCGCGCCCCCAGCCCTCGCCCTGCAGCTAGCGCTTTTGTACAAGGTGGAAATTCAGCGTCGGGCCAGAGATGGAAGGCAAGAAAAGAAAGGCGAGGGAGGGGTGGAAGACCCTGTCCACTTTTGTTGCCAAATGTTACATTGATGGTGGAACAATTTGGCGGAAACTATTTTTCCTCCTTTCTGCATTTGCTCTTCAGTATCCCGTCTGTGTAATCTTCTTAAAAATCGCTGCCAGTATTAGTAAATTGCGCAATGGCTCTTCAACTTAAATCGCTAAGTACCTAGAAGCCAGGACAAAAATGGAAGCAGAATGTGTGATTTTTCAGCTCATTTGTGTGTGTGTGTCTGTGTGTGTGTGTGTGTGTGTAGTTGTGAGTGACTTTGAACACATTTGGATAAACATGAAGTCACTGAAATGTACAGTCATTTCCACACACATTATCTTGTCGGGCAACTACCATAAACACATTTAAGTTAATCACTAGGATACAAACACATATGCGTGAGTGGTGTACACATATACATATTCACTGCCTTCCCCCAGTCCTGTCCTCACTCCTACGTACCAGCGGGGCACACGCACGCGCCATTATAAAACACTGCATTTAACTTTTTCTCGGAGGCATTCATTTTGTAATGGGCAGGTACTTTTCTCAAGCATTTGTACAGATTGAGGGAGTGGAAGCTGAAGGCGTATCTGGCTTTTGAATATAGCGTTTTTCTCCTTTTCTTTCTGTTTGCCTCTACCCTGTTGAATGTAGGAAATCTAAACATGACCAAATCGTACAGCGAGAGTGGGCTGATGGGCGAACCTCAGCCCCAAGGTCCTCCAAGCTGGACAGACGAGTGTCTCAGTTCTCAGGACGAGGAGCACGAGGCAGACAAGAAGGAGGACGACCTCGAAGCCATGAACGCAGAGGAGGACTCACTGAGGAATGGGGGAGAGGAGGAGGACGAAGACGAGGACCTGGAAGAGGAGGAAGAAGAGGAAGAGGAGGATGACGATCAAAAGCCCAAAAGACGCGGCCCCAAAAAGAAGAAGATGACCAAGGCTCGCCTGGAGCGTTTTAAATTGAGACGCATGAAGGCTAACGCCCGGGAGCGCAACCGCATGCACGGACTGAACGCGGCCCTAGACAACCTGCGCAAGGTGGTGCCCTGCTATTCTAAGACGCAGAAGCTGTCCAAAATCGAGACTCTGCGCTTGGCCAAGAACTACATCTGGGCTCTGTCGGAGATCCTGCGCTCAGGCAAAAGCCCAGACCTGGTCTCCTTCGTTCAGACCCTTTGCAAGGGCTTATCCCAACCCACCACCAACCTGGTTGCAGGCTGCCTGCAACTCAATCCTCGGACTTTTCTGCCTGAACAGAACCAGGACATGCCCCCGCACCTGCCGACGGCCAGCGCTTCCTTCCCTGTACACCCCTACTCCTACCAGTCGCCTGGGCTGCCCAGTCCGCCTTACGGCACCATGGACAGCTCCCATGTCTTCCACGTCAAGCCGCCGCCGCACGCCTACAGCGCAGCGCTGGAGCCCTTCTTTGAAAGCCCTCTGACTGATTGCACCAGCCCTTCCTTTGATGGACCCCTCAGCCCGCCGCTCAGCATCAATGGCAACTTCTCTTTCAAACACGAACCGTCCGCCGAGTTTGAGAAAAATTATGCCTTTACCATGCACTATCCTGCAGCGACCCTGGCAGGGGCCCAAAGCCACGGATCAATCTTCTCGGGCACCGCTGCCCCTCGCTGCGAGATCCCCATAGACAATATTATGTCCTTCGATAGCCATTCACATCATGAGCGAGTCATGAGTGCCCAGCTCAATGCCATCTTTCATGATTAGAGGCACGCCAGTTTCACCATTTCCGGGAAACGAACCCACTGTGCTTACAGTGACTGTCGTGTTTACAAAAGGCAGCCCTTTGGGTACTACTGCTGCAAAGTGCAAATACTCCAAGCTTCAAGTGATATATGTATTTATTGTCATTACTGCCTTTGGAAGAAACAGGGGATCAAAGTTCCTGTTCACCTTATGTATTATTTTCTATAGCTCTTCTATTTTAAAAAAAAATACAGTAAAGTTAAAGAAATGCACCACGAATTTGGTGTAGCTGTATTCAGATCGTATTAATTATCTGATCGGGATAACAAAATCACAAGCAATAATTAGGAACTATGCAATTTTTAAACTAGTAATGGGCCAATTAAAATATATATAAATATATATTTTTCAACCAGCATTTTACTACTTGTTACCTTTCCCATGCTGAATTATTTTGTTGTGATTTTGTACAGAATTTTTAATGACTTTTTATAATGTGAATTTCCTATTTTAAAACCATGCAGCTTCATCAATTTTTATACATATCAGAAAAGTAGAATTATATCTAATTTATACAAAATAATTTAACTAATTTAAACCAGCAGAAAAGTGCTTAGAAAGTTATTGTGTTGCCTTAGCACTTCTTTCCTCTCTAATTGTAAAAAAAAAAAAAAAAATTGCACAATTTGAGCAATTCATTTCACTTTAAAGTCTTTCCCTCTCCCTAAAATATAAACCAGAATCATAATTTTCAAGAGAATAAAAAATTAAGAGATGCATTCCCTATCAAAACATATCAATTCAACACATTAGTTGCACAAGCTTGTATATACATATTATAAATAAATGCCAACATACCCTTCTTTAAATCAAAAGCTGCTTGACTATCACATACAATTTGCACTGTTACTTTTTAGTCTTTTACTCCTTTGCATTCCATGATTTTACAGAGAATCTGAAGCTATTGATGTTTCCAGAAAATATAAATGCATGATTTTATACATAGTCACAAAAATGGTGGTTTGTCATATATTCATGTAATAAATCTGAGCCTAAATCTAATCAGGTTGTTAATGTTGGGATTTATATCTATTGTAGTCAATTAGTACAGTAGCTTAAATAAATTCAAACCATTTAATTCATAATTAGAACAATAGCTATTGCATGTAAAATGCAGTCCAGAATAAGTGCTGTTTGAGATGTGATGCTGGTACCACTGGAATCGAGCTGTACTGTAATTTTGTTTGTAATCCTGTATATTATGGTGTAATGCACAATTTAGAAAACATTCATCCAGTTGCAATAAAATAGTATTGAAAGTGAGAGCAATTGTTGCATTTCTTCTTAAAGGGATTTTGTTTTCATTTCTGGGGAAAATAGTCGCTTTTTTGCTGAGTTAAAAAATACTAAACACTTCATGTAGAATAAAAGAAAAGAAGAAAGGTTTACCTTGGCATATGTTCTTGTCTGTTTATCTTGCACAGGGAATCACCAGCTCTTTGTAGATAATGAAAAGACCTAATTGATATTTCATTATTTGGAATATGGGACTGGACAGAGGTACAAACAGTGTGTTTTTTCTCTGTTTTAGGTAGCTTAGCCTTTAGGCTTTTTATTTCCATTTTTAAAAATGATTGTTACATGTTTTCTTCTATTTCTTTCTTTAAAAAGGTGGATTTTATTAATTATTAACAAACAAGACATAAACAAGTATCCCAGCATAGTTTGTCTATACATTTAAGACATATAAAACATTACTATTTTCTTGGTGTTCTGTTATCTGCACATTTTTCTGAACTAAACAGTTTTATCTCGCAAATAGTACTGTCCCAGAGAAATTTATATACTTTTGGAAAGTACCAAAGGGAAATGAGTTAAAGAAGCCAAGAGAAGTAACATTTTATAATTGTTCTATAAACATCTTGTGATGATTTCCATCATTTTTCCATGAAAAAGCATAATGGATTATTTGTACTGAAGAACACACTATTTGTACCGTATTTTAGGAAGGTGTAATTATTTCCTCCCCCCTCCCCCCACCCTTTGGGGCACTATTCTGTTGTTTCATGAACACAACTCACTGGAAAAACTTATGGAAGATTCTGTCTATTGTTATGTCCACTTCAAAAAAAAAAAAAAAGAGTTTGGCATTTCTTTTCCTCTGGATGTACTGACTGACAGTCATGATTCCTAGGGAATATCATTTTGGCACTTGTGCCCTGGCTCTACCGTGGTGCTCTGATTACTGTCATTAGTAACTCCATTGTTTCTACTCTGATTCGGGTGCCACATTGGATGACTACCCCCCTTCCCAAGCTTGTTCCTTTAATCTCCTTCTCATTGGTGATTTAGGGGTTCCAGAAAGCTGACCTCATTTAGCAAGCTGCTCCAGAAAAATGTGAGTAATGTAATGGACAGGAACAATTAGCCATACTAATAACATTGCCAATGAGGCTGCGTCAAGCTGTGACAGTAGCAGTAAGGAATACTTCGACGTTAAAAAAATGTTTGAGAGCAATTTAAAATATATTATTTTAACATGTTTTCTATCTGCCTTCATCACATGACAGAAATACTTTTAAGTTAGTCCCAACTTTATCTAAAATGCAGCAATCTCATTCCAACTGAATCAGAGTTGTTATTTTGGAATCAAGCTGTTGCTTCTATACCCTGGATTGTTCTCACTGTTCTTACTTTAAGAGACATAATACTGATATGATAGTTGAATACTACCAGTCTTCCAGCATAGGAGGTAATGAAGTGAACATTCAGATCTGATCTAATCTATTAAGTAGCTCAATTTCACCTGCAGTTAAAATTAGACATCTTCATGCAAACTAAAATCTGTTACTGTAGTGAAGAGAAGAAATAAAAGAATGACATTTTAGGAATTCCAGCTTTCAAAATAGCAAACAGGAAAATCTAGACTGTGATCTTTTGTAAGGTAGAAACGAACACTGAAAGTTAGGTTTTTGTTTTGTTTTGTTTTGTTTTTCCATTTTGCCAATAGAACTTCATTCTAAAACATAGGGATTCTTTCAGTCAGTCAAGGAGTAACTCACATGCCACCATCTTTTATTCAAAGGCAGGCACAGATGTTCCTTCTGCAGGGGAGGATTTAATTTATGAAAATGATATTGTTTATGCATGAATGAACTGCATGCACTCTGCATAACACATAGCACTTCCATCTGATCAGAGAAATGCCACAGAACCAGTGCCAATGTCAGAAACATATTCTACAAATTTACTCACTTAAATGTTTAATGAATATTTGGAAGGCACTTTCAAACCATAAGAAACATTTTAAATTATCTTCTTTTATGAATTCCTACCCATATTTAAAAAAGACTCTTACAGCTTTTGTAACTGGCTAATGATTATACCCAGTTTGTAAGAAAAGAACATATTTTACTAAATGAAAACCAACCAACCAAAAAAAAAAAATGCTGGCAAGTTTGGCTTCACTGGAAAACATATTTCTCTTACTTTTGCTGTTTAATGCTTGTCATGAATAATATTTGGGATTCTATGTGTTTCTTCATCTTGAGCCACGACTATTCCTATCAAATAAGATGCTTAGGTATACTTGTTTAATGTGAAAATCCTATGAATAGTTATTTCTAGAAAAAGCTGGTATGTAAAATCAAGGGGAAATTTCATAGTCTAAGATGAAATTGAGCTAAATAGTGTAACTGGTGCATAATTACTATTGAATAGGAACACTTCACATAACATATTTTATTTTACATAACCAATTGCAGCTATATAGTATGATCTATATACTTTTAATACTTAATTATAAATAAATTAAAATGAAAGATTATAATGCCTTAAGAATGTTCTACTAATCTTAGGTTTATAATATGTTATAGTAAAATAACATCTGAAATACATTTTGTGTTCTAATTTATTAATCTTAAAATCCCTGTTTTTACATTTGAAAGTCCTTACATTCTTACAAAATTAATACATTTTCTGAAAGAAGCTAGCAATTACTAAAATGATATAAGGATCATTAGCTAACAGTTTGAACCAAGCTGTTTTAGTTCTATAATTATACAAGAAATTTAAAGTGAAAATATCTATTAAGCAATTAATAAAACTAGGTTTCAAAATATTGGCTGATTTTCTCCTAATGGAAAATGTAAAACAGCAAAACTGTTTCTTAAACTACACAAAAACCTCCTCACTTCTCTTTTTCTCTCCCTCTAACACCACTTATTTATTGAAAATCACCTAAATAAAATCTTTAATTCCAGGGTCTGATGAAGAATAAAAGAGCCAAAGCAACATCTTGTAGAACACCAGGACTGAGAACTCTTGTTGTTACCATTGCAAAGAGGCATTCTGGCGTCAGATGCACAGTGATTTGTATGGTGGCATAATCATTGGCTGCTGGCCAGGCATTATGTTTCAGAGGACACTATTGTCAAGAACCATTCAACCAGAAATCTGCACTGTATGCACTCAAAAGTTGAGATCATCTGCCTTCCTATGACAGGAAGAATTCTGTGCTGGCAATTGACTCATGGACTCTCTTCACACACACTAAGGCTTGGTCCAATGGCTCTGATGGAATTAACTGTGCAGCCAAACTAGTGGCATTGACAAGACAAGGCCACAGTCTCTGGGGACTTCTGGTTAAATTGCTAATTTTAAAATGCGGAGTATTATGTTAATGCTGGATTAAATCATCAGATACATTAAATGTGGATTTGGCCATCTAAGCATTATTATGTTATTTGCCCAGTTAATTTAGAGGTAGATGGACAGTGACAATAACTATCTCTACAGATCCACAATTCTAAGAGATGGATCCAATTGTGAAATGACATGGAGAGATAAAGAGTAAGTTCAATCTAGCATATATGAAATAACTTGGTAACTGACTTTTCTGTTAACAAGATGAAAAGCTAACCTGCTTTACACTTTCACATCTAAGGACAGACAACCAGAGAGGTGGTTTCACACACTAGGCCAGTGCTAACTAAGTGCTTTTCATTCACTTGCGTATTTCATCATCAAAGCAGCCTCCTGCCTTGTTTATAGATGGGGAAACTAGGAAGTTGAGATACCTAGATATTTGCATTTCTGTCTTCCTTTCTTCATTCAGGTTTTTCTTTCATTGCCACTTCCTCAAAGCAGCTTTTACTGATTCCCATTTAAAATAACAACTGACTTCAACTCCACCAAAATCACTATACTGTCCCTCCCTCTTTCCAGAGCATTTGCCTGTCAAATGTTATCTTATGTATTTACTTGTTTAGCTTATTTTTAAACTATTTATTTATTTTTAAACTATCTATCTCTAGGTCTTCTAAGCACCTGAGAAACAGAGACAAAGTTGTCTCTTCTGTGTGTTGCTGTTCCTCTGGTGCTTAGAAGACCTAGAGGATCCTAAAAAAATATTAACTTTCCAAGGGAATTGAAGAACACTAGGCCGGGCGCGGTGGCACATGCCTGTAATCCCAGCACTTTGGGAGGCCGAGGCGGGTGGATCACGAGGTCAGGAGATCGAGACAATCCTGGCTAACACAGTGAAATCCTGTCTCTACTAAAAATATAAAAAAATTAGCCGGGCGTGGTGGCGGGTGCCTGTAGTCTCAGCTACTCGGGAGGCTGAGGCAGGAGAATGGTGAACCCAGGAGGCGGAGGCTGCAGTGAACCGAGATCATGCCACTGCACTCCAGCCTGGGTGACAGAGCAAGACTCCGTCTTAAAAAAAAAAAAAAAAAAAAGAAGAAGAACACTAATGTAATGCTAAAGCCTATGCTATAAGTCAAGTCAGTTGAGAATGGAGAGGACCACAGATTATTTTCAGTCCAGCAAATGTTATAAACATTAATTCTACGACAAGAAAACAATTGAAACTAATTTCTATCATACTGCATGGCACCAAACTCCCCCCACTTCCTTTTTGAGGATCATAAGTTGTCAGTTATTGTTTCTTTTATTGATATCAATTGGTTAAATATAATCTAGAATCGGAATAAAAACAATTATAGGCTTTTTCCAGACCATGTATTTCAATGCATGTTCTTTTTTCCTTTCTGTTCATTATTCTTTCAGTAATTGTTTTTGTTCTATTTTTAGTGTTATGTAAAATTACTCTAGCTCATAATTTCTATTTTAAAGTGTTCAGTGCATAAACTTAGCACATCAATACTATCTTTTTAGTGTTCGCTCTCAATGATGTCAGTTAAGAGATCAGCATCACTTTTGGTGACGTCAATGAAGGGGTATTACAACCTTAAGAGAACTGTTAATCCCTTTCCACTGGTGTCACTAATTGTAGTGCTTGTTTACTCATAGCAAGTACG